TAGACAGTTTGAAGGAATACTAAGATGCTATTGAGTGTTACGATAACGCTATTTCAATTGATCCAAAAAATGGTTTTTTTTGGTATAATAAAGGTAATTAATTTAAAAACCATTTCATTTAGGTTCAGCATTAGATAGTTTAAGTAGATACTAAGAAGCTATTGATTGTTACGATACAGCAATTTCAATTAATCCCGAAGATTTCACAGCCTGGTACAACAAGGGTAATTAAGAACTTCACATTATTATTAAGGTTCTGCATTAGACAGTTTAAGTAAATACTAAGAAGCTATCAATTGTTACAATAAAGCTATTTCAATTAAACCTGAAGATTATATTTCATGGAATAACAAAGGTTATTTATAAATAAATATTATTATTTAGGTTCAGCATTAAATGATTTACAGAAGTATTAAGAAGCTATTGAGTGTTATGATAAGGCTATTTCAATTAATCAATAATATCATACTGCCTTAAATAACAAGGGTAATTAATCTATAAATATTATAATTTAGGCTTTACATTAAAGTGTTTAAAAAAATACTAAGAGGCTATTGAATGTTACGATAGAGCTATTTCAATAAATCCCTAAATTGATACTGTCTGGTATAACAAGGGTATTTTATTATAAGCATTGTTATTTAGGTTTTGCATTAAAATGTCTAAGGAAATACCAAGAGGCTATTGAGTGTTATGATAAAGCTATTAGAATTAATCCTTAAAATATAAGTGCCTGGAATAACAAAGGTAATAAATTTCTAAACATTATTATTTAGGCTCAGCATTAAATGATTTATTGAAATTCTCAGAAGCCATCGAGTGTTACAATAAAGCTATTTTAATTCATCCCTAAAATGATACCGCCTGGAATAATAAGGGTTATTATTTAGTAATGATATTTAGGTTTTATTTTAAATGATTTATTGAAACACTAAGAAGCTATCGAGTGTTACAATTAAGCGATATAATTTAACTCTTAAAATGAAACAGCCTGGTGCAACAAGGGTAATAAATTTATAAACATTGGATTTAGGTTTTGCCTTAAAGAGTTTAAAGAAATACTAAGAGGCTATAGTATGTTACAATAAATCTATTCTAATTAACCCTTTAAATGATACTGCTTGGTATAAAAAGGGTAATTAATTTTAAGCATTATTATTTAGGTTTTGCATTAGACCGTTTAAAGAAATACTAAGAGGCTATTGAATGTTATGATAAAGCTATTTTGATTAATCCTTAATACCATACTGCCTGGAATAGCAAGGGTAATTAAATTATAAGCAACATAATTTAGGATTAACATTAGACAGTTTAAAGAAATACTAAGAGGCTATTGAATGTTATGATAAAGCTATTTTAATTAATCCTTAATATCATACTGCCTTGAATAACAAGGGTAATTAATTTAAATAAATTCTTATTTAGGTTCAGCATTAATTACTTTATAAAGATATTAAGAAGCTATTGAGTGTTACAATAAAGCTATTTCAATTGATCCCCAAAATGATACTTCTTGGTATAACAAAGGTAATTAATTTATAAGCATTATTACGAAGGTTCAGCATTAGACCGTTTAAAGAAATACTAAGAGGCTATTGAATGTTATGATAAAGCTATTGTTATCAATCCCTAATATCATACTGCCTGGAATAGTAAGGGTAATTAATTTAAGCAATATTATTTAGGTTCAGCATTAAATGATTTATA